ATTGAATTCCTATACACCGTTCATAAAAAAAAACCCAAACAAACCTAAACCCCAAACCAAACACAAACCACCCCCCTGCACACAGGTGACTGCAAATGAGAAGATATGACTTTTTTCACAAACTTTTTAATCTACAGCTTAAAACCATCTCAAGTTAAACTTTATTACAATTTATTTAATTTTTTGATTTATTGAATAGCCAAAACAGTTTATTACTGTCAAGCCTGTAATAATTCGATGGCGGGGTGGGGTGGGGGGGTGGTGCCTCTAAAGTGTTTAAAAATTTGTCATGAACTATGGGATTCCGACTTATGTTGCCATAACAAAAAATTATATTATTCATGAAAAACATCTTACTCTCTATGGTTTTTCTTCTTGGTTTCACTGGAAGAGTCATCTGCAGAATCTTCGCTGCTCGATGAAACCTGCGGAATGAAGAAGAACAATGAAGTATTTTTACTATTAAAAAGATAATTCAGCTCCCACTTTCAAACTGAAATCCTATTCTTCATGTCTTATCCTCTTCATTCCCCTCAGTGTACCCATTGATATTGAATAAGATCACAATTGCTATTGAGTTTGTATTTCTCCATCTAAGAATATACCATATAGGAACTCTAGAAAACACTACAAAAAAACCCTGTCTTAAAATATAATAATTGTGTCTACATATAGTCATAGTTTATACTGCTGCAAGTCAATAAATCAAGATGAAGTTCCTATCAAAAGCCTAATAAAATCTCCTGCTCTCTCACTTTTCATATCCTCTCATATTTAAACACCACTAAGAAAATTCTGAGAATAGCATGTATGTTTCTTCTCTCTCCACTCCCCCCCAAAAAAAAACCACCATAAATTCACAAACCCTCCTAAAATTATTTTCCTAAATCCAATCTCATAGAGATTAATTTTGGATCATTTTTATACTGAAACCGAGTCTTCAGGAAAAGAGTACTTAGTAACAGCTATTAATATTTTAACTTTATATGATTAAGTTCTTTGTCCTTTAAAGATATTTCTACTGCACAAAGTCAACTTTTGCTTAGCCCATGATTTAGGTTTTAAAATTCTCTAAACCGGAAGTATGGTTCTTAAAATGCAAGCATTCTTTTACAGCTGTTATAGAAATCTATCTTTCAACTCCATATAGTGCTTTTGAAAACTGCAGAAGCTACCTTTATATAGTGACAATAGTGGAAAAGTCTTTTAGTATTTTAACTGTCTTTATGCATCTCAGAAGGCAGAAATGCAATGAAAGTTAATACTACATGACTTGAAAATTTTGTCATTACATCACAGAATAACCTAGCTAAAAATATTAATCTATACTGCTACCTTTTTGGCACAAATCACCTGAAAACATGCAACTAAATATTCTCCCCCCCTTCCTCATAAACTTGTCAGTTATATAAACATTACTTTTAGAGACGAAACCAAGACTTTTTAAACATGCATGCACTTAAGAGAACAGAACTTGGCTCTACATAAATTTATTCTAACACATGGGGTACTGAGACATGCATGTTTACTTTTTATTTACTAACTTATATGTTATTCACCTCTTCTGAACCACTGTCTGATGAGGCTGCCTTCTGATGTTGCTTCTTGAGCCCTGCTGATCTCTGCACAGCAAGTATACTTGGACTGGACTTCCAAATCTGAATTGGAATTCAGACACAAGAGTCATTTAAACATACTGAAACTTTAAAGTTTACGGCATTCTTACTTTGCTTAAGATGAGCAGCATCCCTATTAAGATTAATTTCATTTTTATTAATATTAAAAGCTCACTATAAAATACTGCATGATGATAGTATTTTAAATTAGTGATGCTTCTGCAGAAGGGATTGTTATATAAGAATTGCTGGCACAATTTTTACAGTAAGTATAATAATCATTGTGCAGGCTTCTATATTATTGACATAACTTTTTAAAGGAAATTTTTAAAAATAATCTAGATAATTTCTTTCAGGTCACTTATCTGATATATTTTTGCTTCGGATGGGAATACTGAAGTACATAGAATCATAGAATCTCTCAAGTTAGAAGGGACCAAAAAGGATCGAGTTTATTTCCCTGCTCCTTGCAGGACTACCTAAGCCATTATGATTAAGAGTGTCATCCAGGCACTTATTGAACTCTGACAGGCTTGGTGCCATGACCACTTCCCTGAGGAGCCTGTTCTAGTGACCGAGCACTCTCTCAGTGAAGAACCTTGTCCTAATGCCCAATCTGAACTTCTCCTGACACAATTTCATTCAATTTTCTCATGCCCTATCACTGGTCACCAGAAAGAGATCAGCACTTCCCCTTCCACTGCCCCTCTTGAGGAAGTTGTAGACTGCGATGAGGTCACCCTTCAGCCGTCTCTTCTCCAAGCTGAACAAACCAAGTGACCTCAGCCACTCCTTGTAAATCTTGCCCTCAAGACTATCTTGGTTGCCCTCCTCTGGACACATTCTAATAGTTTGATGTCCTTCTTATACTGAAATGCCCAAAACTTCACACAGTACTTGAGGTGGGACCATACCAGTGTGATGTAGAGTGGAGAACTCACCTTCCTCAGCTGTGCTTGATGCACCCCAGGACATGGCTGGCCCTTTTGGCTGCCAGAGCACACTGGTGACTCATGTTCAACTTGCCATCAACCCAAAGCCCTAGATCTCTTTCCAGGAGGCTTCTCTCCAGCCTCTAGTCCCCCAAATTGTACATATAGCCAGTATTACCTCATCCCAGGTACAGAATCTGGCACTTATTTTTGCTAAATTTCATACAGCTGGTGATTGCCCAGCTCTCTAATCTATCCAAATCTCTCTGTAAGGCCTCTCTGCCCTTGAGGGATTCCACAGCTCTTCCTAGTTTAGTGTCATCAGCAAACTTAATGTACATATGATTCCTGCATCCAGAACATTTATAAAAGCATTAAAGAGCACTGGCCCTAAAACTGAGCCCTTGGGGAACCCTACTCGTAACTGGCTGCCACAGTATCCCTCAGGTTTCTCTCCTCCCTCCTCCAGCCTATCCTGCTGAATGGCATCACAGCCTTCAGGTGTATCAGCCACACCCCCCAGCTTTGTATCATCAGTGAACTTGCTCAGGGTAGACTCCAGCCCTTCATCTTTGTTATCATTTATATACAAGTTCAATAAGACTGAACCCAGTATTGATCCCTGGGGAAGACCACTGACTACAGGCCTCCAACTGGATGCTACTGCACTGATCATGTCTCTCTGAACTCTGCCATTCAGCCAGTTTTTGATCCACCTCTCTATCCATTCATCTAACCCACATTTCCTAAGCTTACCTATGAGGAGGTTATGGGAGACAGTGCCAAAAACCTTGCTGAAGTCAAGGTAGCTAACAACCGCTGCTCTCACCTCATTTACCCATCTTGCCATGTAATCATAGAAGGCTATTAGATTGGTCAAGCATGATTTCCTTTGGTGAATCCATGCCGACTACTCCTGATGACCTTCTTCTACATGCTTGTCCTTCTTCTACATGTGTGGTAATGTCCTCCAGAATGACCTGTCCCATCACCTTTCCAGGGATGGAGGTGAGGCTGAGTAGCAGTAGTTTCCCAGGTCCTCCTTCTTGCCATTTTTGAAAATGGGGGTAACATTTCCCTTCCTCCAGTCATCAGTCACCTCTCTCATTCTCCATGCTTTTTCAAAGATGATGGAGAGTGGCAGAGCAACATCTCCCAGCTCCTTCAGTACCCATGGGTGCAAACCTTCAGGGCCCACGGATCTATTAAGTCTGGTGTTAAGTCTGTCTAGGCTATCCCTAACCCAAACCTTTATGACCAGGGTGAAGTCTTCCTTTCTCCAGCCTTCATCTCTAAATTCCCAGGTCTGGGACTCCTGAGAGCCATTCTTAGTGGTAAAGACTGAGGCAAAGAAGGCATTCAGTAATTCCACCATCTCTGTGTCTTCTGTTACCAGGACACCCATCTGATTCAGCAGCAGACCCATATTTTCCCTTATATTCCTTTTGCTGCTGATATACTTAGAATCATAGAATAGTTAGGGGTGGAAAGGACTTTAAGATCATTGAGTTCTACACCCCCTGCCATGGGCAGGGACACCTCGCACTAAACCATCTCACCCAAGGCTCTGTCCAACCTGGCCTTGAACACTGCCAGGGATAGAGCATTCACAGCTTCCTTGGGCAACCCATTCCAGTCCTTCACCAGCCTCACAGTAAAGACCTTCTTTCTTACATCTGACCTGAACTTCCCCTGTTTAAGTTTGAACCCATTGCCCTGTGTCCTATCACTACAGTCCCTAATGAAGAGTCCCTCCCCAGCATCCCTATAGGCCCCCTTCAGATACTGGAAGGCTGCTATGAGGTCTCCACGCAGCCTTCTCTTCTTCAGGATTAACAACCCCAGCTTTCTCAGGCTGTCTTCATATAGGAGGTGCTCCAGCCCCCTGACCATCCTCGTGGCCCTCCTCTGGACTTGTTCCAACAGTTCCATGTCCTTTTTATGTTGAGGACACCAGAACTGTACACAGAACTCCAAGTTAGGTCTCACGAGAGCAGAGTAGAGGGGCAGGATCACCTCCTTCGACCTGCTGGTCATCACAGTATCACAGTATCACAGTATGTTAGAGATTGGAAGGGACCTCAAAAGATCATCTAGTCCAATCCCCCTGCCAGAGCAGGAACACCTAGATAAGGTTACAGAGGAACGTGTCCAGGCAGGTTTTGAATGTCTCCAAAGAAGGAGATTCCACAACCTCCCTGGGAAGCCTGTTCCAGTGTTCCGTCACCCTCACTGAGAAGAAGTTTCTTCTCAAGTTTAAGTGGAACCTCTTGTGTTCCAGTTTGTACCCATTGCCCCTTGTCCTATCATTGTTTGCCACTGAGAAGAGCCTGGCTCCATCCTCGTGACACTCCCCCTTTATATATTTATATACACTAATAAGGTCACCCCTCAGTCTCCTCCAAACTATAGAGACCCAGCTCCCTCAGTCTTTCCTCATAAGGGAGATGCTCCACTCCCTTAATCATCTTAGTTGCCCTGCGCTGGACTCTCTCCAGCAGGTCCCTGTCCTTCTTAAACTGAGGGGCCCAGAACTGGACACAGTATTCCAGATGAGGTCTCACCAGGGCAGAGTAGAGGGGAAGGAGGACCTCTCTCGACCTACTAACCACCCCCCTTCTAATACACCCCAGGATGCCATTGGCCTTCTTGGCCACAAGGGCACAGTGTCGGCTCATGGTCACCCTGTCGTCCACCAGGACCCCCAGGTCCCTCTCCCCTACACTGCTCTCTAAGAGGTCGTTCCCCAACCTATACTGGAACCTGGGGTTGTTCCTGCCCAGATGCAGGACTCTACACTTTCCCTTGTTATATTTCATCAAGTTATTCCCCGCCCAACTCTCCAGCCTGTCCAGGTCTCGCTGGATGGCAGCACAGCCTTCTGGCATGTCAGCCACTCCTCCCAGCTTAGTGTCATCAGCAAACTTGCTGATAGTACACTCAATTCCCTCATCTAAATCATTGATGAATATATTAAATAATACTGGTCCCAGTACTGACCCTTGAGGCACTCCACTAGATACAGGCCTCCAACTAGACTCCGCCCCATAGACTACAACTCTCTGGCTTCTCTCCTTCAGCCAGTTCACAGTCCACCTCACTACCCGATCATCCAGACCACACTTCCTCAATTTAGCCGCAAGGATGCAGCCCAGTATACATTTGGCTTTCTGGGGTGGAGCGCACACTACCAGCTCATGCTAAGTTTCTCATGGACCAACACCCCCAAGTCCTTCTCTGCAGGTCTGCTCTGAATCTCTCCTCCACACAACATGTAGCTGTGTCTCCTCTCCTCTCCTCTCCTCTCCTCTCCTCTCCTCTCCTCTCCTCTCCTCTCCTCTCCTCTCCTCTCCTCTCCTCTCCTCTCCTCTCCTCTCCTCTCCTCTCCTCTCCTCTCCTCCCCTTGTAGAAGCTCTTCTGCTCTTCTTCTTGTCCTTGATGTCCTTTGCCAGGCTCAAATCTAAGTGGACTTTGGCCTTCCTTGTCTCTTCCTTGCATACCCTGACCGCTGTTACTATAGACCTACTTGGCCTGTCACAACATTATGTGTGTTGTCTTCAAAAATTTGCAATAAGTTAACAGGTGCTTCTGTGTGATACAATTTAGGCAATTATCTAACTGTAGGTGTTTTCAGAGATGAGAATTTAAGAGCCCAATATTTGTTATGAAAGCTAAGCATGTGCATTCATTAACCTGATCAAGTTAAAATTCTAAGTAAATATTATAGCGGTTTTGTTTGTTTAAATTAAAACTGCTCTTGTAATTACTCTGCACAGAATGTGGTTTTCCCTACAAAGAGTTTATTTATATGCTTTGTTTTACCTCAGATCCATCAGCTTTTGGTAGTGGTTTAGCTTGAACTTGTTTCTTCTCCCTAGATGCGTCAGACTTTGATTCTGATTGACTGCCTGACTCTGAACCAGACTCAGAGTCACTGCTACCTGATTGACTGCTACTTTCATCACTAATGCTTCCAGAGCTTGAACCAGATCCCGAAGCTGATGCTGACCCAGAATCACCATCTGATTGGCTGCAATTAGAAGTTAACATGAGTATCACAATATCTAATTAAATAGGATTTTTTTTTTAACACATTAAAAATACTGTAGCTTCACCTATAAATCAACTGTTAGGTTAGCCCAGACACATGGATAGCATACAAATGAATGCACTGGATTAAACAAATCAGGAATGAAAATTCAGTGCTTAATCAGATACCTTTCATTAAACCTTAAAAGGAGAGAGAGGAGAAAGAAGGGAAAACATTAATCATTAATGCAGATACGTTAAACAAGGGTATTTCTCACCCACACAAACTGTTACTTAGCTCCATCAAACCCCATGTATTTTTGTGTATACACACAAAATTATTTTAAGTACTTTTAGATTACCACTGCACCCCTCTCCCAGTTTTTTTTGGATAATTTTTTTCTTGAGCATGCATTTCTTCAAAGCAAACATAAACTGTTTTGTTTCCCCAGGTTTACATTATTCATACAAAGAGGGGGGAAAAAGTATCTTTATGGAAGTACTTGAAAACTATGTTTCATGTGGTGATTTGGACCAACTATATACAAAATACCACCAAATACTTGATTAAATAGTGTCTACAAAAGTAACTGGAAAACCAGAAGTATGATGTCACACATAATATAAATTCATACAGACAATTTTATACTGTTAAAATAAAGCAATAAATTCCCCACACAGACAAACCCTGAATTTATCACAGATTATATGACGTGCCAAATCATGATCAGCGACCTTAGCATATTCTTGAAGCAGTGGATTATTCCACCTATATATTCATTTCACACTAGATTTAACATATCTAAATAGAATAATAAATAAAGTTAAACATGTATTTCATGACTATTCAAAAACATCAAAAAATTTGGTTTTCTAAAACATTTTTATAAAGGAACTGAATGAAAACTTGTTCTGGTTTAAGCCCAGCCAGCAACCCAGAACAACGCAGCCACTCGCTCACTCCCCCCAGTTCCTTGTCCCTTTGCTCCTGGAGGGATGGGGGGGAGAATCAAAAGAATGTAAATCCCACGGGTTTGGATAAGAACAGTCCAGTAACTAAGGTATAACACAAAACCACTATTGCTGCCAACAATAATAAGAACGATAAGGGAAATAACAAGGAAAGAGAATACAACCGCTCACCACCTGCCGACCGATAACCAGCCCGACCCAAGCAGTGATCTACCCCTTCCAGGTAACTGCCCCCAGTTTATATACTGGGCATGATGTGCTGTGGTATGGAATACATCTTTGGCTAGCTTGGGTCAGATTTCCTGCCTCTGCTTCCTCCTGGCTTCCCCTCCTACCTGGCAGAGCATGAGACTCACAAAGTCCTTGGTCAGACTAAACATTACTGAGCAACAACAAAAAACATCGGTGTTATCAGCGCAGTTCCCAGGCAGAAAGTAAAAACACATCACTGCACGGGCTACTAAGACTGAGAAAAATGACTACTACTGCTGAACCCAGGACAAAAGTTCAATCAAATACCTCATTAGGTTAAAAACTGGAAAAAGAGAAATATAACCCCAATTCTCAAGAAGGGGAAAATGGATGACCCGGGAAATTACAGACCAGTCAGTCTCACCTCTGTGCCTGGCAAAATCTTGGAGCAGATTCTCCTGGAAGGCATGCTAAGGCACATGAAAAACAACAAGGTGCTTGGTGACAGCCAGCATGGCTTCACTAAGGGGAAATACTGCCTAACCAATTTGGTGGCCATTTAGGATGGGGCTACTGAACTGATGGACAGCGGTAGAGCAGTTGATGTCATCTACCTGGATTTGTGTAAAGCGTTCGACACTGTCCCACACGACATCCTTGTCTCTAAATCAGAGAGCCATCAATTTGATGAATGGACCACTCGGTGGATAAAGAACTGGCTGGAGGGCTGCAGACAAAGAGTTGTGGTCAATGACTCAATGTCCAGCTGGAGACCAGTAACGAGTGGTGTCCCTCAGGGATTGGTGTTGGGACCGGCCCTGTTTAACACCTTCGTAGCTGACATGGACAGTGGCATTGAGTGCGCCCTCAGCAAGTTTGCTGATGACACCAAGCTGTGTGGTTCGGTTGATACGCTGGAGGGAAGGAATGCCATCCAGAGGGACCTTGACACGCTTGTGAGGTGGGATGATGCCAACCTCATTAAGTTTAACCGTGACAAGTGCAAGGTCCTACACCTGGGTCGGAGCAATCCCCGGCACAGCTACAGGTTGGGCAGAGAAGAGATTCAGAGCAGCCCTGCGGAGAAGGACTTGGGGGTGCTGGTCAATGAGAAACTTAACATGAGCTGGCAGTGTGCACTTCCAGTCCAGAAAGCCAAACGTATCCTGGAATGCATCAAAAGGAGTGTGACCAGCAGGTCAAAGGAGGTGATCCTGCCCCTTTATTCTGCTCTCATGAGACCTCACTTGGAGTATTGTGTGCAGTTATGGTGTCCTCAACATAAAAAGGACATGGAACTGTTGGAACAAGTCCAGAGGAGGGCCACAAGAATGATCAGGGGACTGGAGCACCTCCCATATGAAGAACGGCTGAGAAATTTGGGACTGTTCAGCCTGGATAAGAGAAGGCTGCGTGGAGACCTCATAGCAGCCTTCCAGTATCTGAAGGGGGCCTATAGGGATGCTAGAGATGGACTCTTCATTAGGGACTGGAGTGATAGGACAAGGGGTAATGGGTTAAAACTTAAACAGGGGAAGATTAGATTGGATATAAGGAAGAAATTCTTTACTGTTTCGGTGGTGAGGCACTGGAATAAGTTGCCCAAGGAGGTTGTGAATGCTCCATCCCTGGCAGTGTTCAAGGCCAGGTTGGACAGAGCCTTGGGCTACATGGTTTAGTGTGAGATGTCCCTGCCCATGGCAGGGGGTGTGGAACTCGATGATCTTAAGGTACTTTCCAACCCTAACTATTCTATGATTCTATGATTCTATATTGTGATGGAAAACATTGGAGTTACCACACAAGCAAAATAATTTTAAATTATATACACTTGGGATGTAAGCATTTAAAAAGAAACAAACCCCCAGTAAAGATAATACCAAAATCCCAAACAATAAAACCCCAGAAGCTAATATCAAAGTCTAAGCCTATCACTGCCAGCACAATTCATCTGGTTGTCAACCAGCAAGGGGTGGGGGGAAGGGCAATGGTAGTATGGTGATCATCTCCTGCACTAGATCACACTTAACTGACAAATTTAAAGCCAAAAACCAAAACCAATACTTTCCCTGTTGCTAACACCAATTAAATTTTTTTAGTGAGGGTAAAAAAGATGAATGAAGTAATTCACAAACTGATTCCTCAACCAAACATCTGCATCTGTTATCTCTGAATAAAAGAAACAAACCATGAAAAAGCTTCATTATTTTGTAGTGGGGATATGAAGAAATACAACTGACTGCTGGTTTTAATTACACTTGCTGAGGATAAAACTGGGAGGCAACAAGGCTACTTCCCATTCCTGTCATCAAGGGCCTACTTCAGGTGGATGAAGTTGCTAAAACACTATCCATCATATCTGAAATGTTATGGCAGTCAGGTGAAGTTCCCAACAACTAGAAAAAGGGAAATATATCTCCCATTTTTAAAAAGGGGAAAGTGGAAGACCCAGGGAGCTACAGACCGGTCAGTCTCACTTCTGTGCCTGGCAAGATCATGCAGCAGATTGTCCGGGAAACCATGCTAAGGCACATGAAAAACAACGAGGTGGTTGGTGACAGCCAACATGGTTTCACTAAGGGCAAATCATGCCTGACCAATTTGTTTGCCTTTTACGACGGGGCTACAGAACTGATGAATAGAGGCAGAGCAGCTGATATCATCTACCTGGACTTGCACAAAGTGCGTGATGCTGTACCGCATGACATCTTTGACTGTAAAATGGATTTGATGGATGGACCGCCCAGTAGATGGAGAATTGGCTGGATGGCCATACGCAAAGAATTGTGGTCAATAGCTCAATGTCCAAGAGGAGACCAGTGATGAGTGGGGGCCCTCAGGGGTCAGCGTTGGGACTGATCCTATTCCTGTTCTTTGTTGAAGATATGGACAGTGGGATTGAGTGTAACCTAAGCAAATTTTCCAATTACACCAAGCTATATATTGAGGTCAACACAGTGGAGGGAAGGGATGACATCTAGAGGGACCCTGACAGGCTTGAGAGATGGGCCAATGCAAACCTCATGAAGTTCAACAAAGCCAAGTACAAGGTCCTACACCTGGGTAAGAGCAATCCCAGGCACAGCTGCAGGTTGGGCATAGATCTGATTCAGAGCAGTCCTGTGGAAGACTTGGGGATGTTGGTCAATGAGAAAATGAACATGAGCCAGCAGTGTGCGCTCGCAGCCCAGAAAGCCAACTGTATACTGGGCTGCATCAAAAAATGCATGAACAGCAGGTTGAACGAGGTGATTCTACCCCTCTACTCTGCTCTCGTGAGACCTAACTTGGAGTACTGCGTACAGTTCTGGTGTCCCCAACGTAAGAAGGACATGGAACTGTTGGAGCAAATCCAGAGGAGGGCCACAAGGATCATAAGCCAGCTAGAGCACCTCCCTTATGAAGACAGGCTGAGAGAATTTGACCTGTTCAGCCTGGAGAAGGCTGCACGGAAACCTCATAGCAGCCTTCCAATATCTGAAGGGGGCCTACAAGGATGCCAGAGAGGGACACTTCATTAGGGACTGTAGTGATAGGACAAGGGGTAATGGCTTCAAACTTAAACAGGGGAGATATAGCTTAGATATAAGGAAGAAATTCTTTACTGTTAGGGTGGTGACACACTGGAACAGGTTGCCCAAGGAAGCCAAGAATGCTCCATCCCTGGCGATGTTCAAGGCCAGGTTGGACAGTGCCTTGGGCGACATGGTTTAGTGTGAGGTGTTCCTGACCATGGCAGGTGGGTTGGAACTAGATGATCTTAAGGTCCTTTCCAACCCTAACCTTTCTATGATTCTGTGATGCTATAACACTAACATGTTTTCTTGACTTGAAAACTAAAAGCAAGGCACCCA